AATTGAGGTTATTAAAGCTTATAGTATTTTATAGTATATATATGTTCAATATTTTGAATTAAAATAAATGAAAAAAAGAGTTTCAAAGAAAAACGGTGTAGATATATTGAAGAAAAAGTAAAGCAATCAGTAGCAATTATTAACAGTACTTATCAATTTCATGTTCCAAATTTAACGGTTGAAAATAAAAATGATAAAACCAATCGGTACAGCTACTCAAATAATAAAGTTACTTATAATTCTGATACCGAGAACATTGGTTCGAGTTATGTAGACATTGATAATTTGACGTTCGACGAACAACCCACCCATAGTTCTGATAGCATAATTAGAAAAACAAGTTTATGTTCAGATCATGTTGAAAATAGTGAGCAGTTATCTTGCAAACTTGCTAAATGGACTGTAGAAAACAACATTAGTTTATCTGCACTGAGAGAGTTGCTTACTATTTTGCGCGAAGATCCTAATTCTTATTGCACCAATAATATACCAGCAGACCCTCGCACTCTTTTAAAAACGCCTAACAAAGCATATGGTACAAAAATGGGATTGGGTTTATTTCACTATTTTGGGATAGCTGAAACATTAAATTCTTTATGCATTGCTCTTAATATAAATGTAACGTCCAGCACAGAGTTTTCTCTTGCAGTTAATATTGATGGGCTACCTTTGAGTAAAAGTTCTGCAAGTTCATTTTGGCCCATTTTGTGTTCCGTCAAATCAATCGAAGCCCTTAAAAATAAAGTTTTCTTAGTAGCTCTTTATCATAGACATGATAAACCAAATTCCAATGATTTTTTACTTGATTTTGTTAATAAATGTGCAAAGTTAACAACAAATGGCATATTAATCAAGACCGTTATATGCAAATTTAAAATTGAAATGTTAATCTGTGATACACCTGCAAAATCATTTGTACTATCACTTAAAAGTCATTCAGGCTACTTTTCCTGCACAAAGTGCAATCAAGAAGGAGAAATGATTAACAATGTTATTTGTTTCGTTGAAACGGAAAATCTTGTAAAAAGAACTAATAATTCTTTTAGAAATAAACTTTATCCAGAACATCACGTTGGTGAAACTCTTTTCATTAACATTCCAAACTTTAATTTTATTGATAATGTGCCCTTGGACTATATGCACAATCTTTTGTTAGGCGGAACTAAGAGATTGCTATGCAATAGACGCTATGGGTGGATATTCGGTAGACCTCCTCACAAATTACGTGCAAAGGATGTTAATGATATTACTAATTTGCTTCTTAAACTAAGAAAATATATTCCTTGTAAATTTTTACGAAAGACTCGATCTATAGTAGAATGCAAGCGATACTATAAGGCTACTGAATTTAGACTCTTTTTACTATATACAGGTCCAATAGTCTTAAAACAAGTACTGTCTCCTAAAGTTTACAATAATTTTATTACCCTTAGCTTAGCAAGCACTATCTTAATTAGTAATTATTATTCAAAGTATGAACATTTTATTTCTTACGCTCACGAGCTCATGAAGCATTTTATTACTAATTCTATTCAAATTTATGGTCCAGATTTCATTTCTCATAATATACATAATTTTTTGCACTTAACTGATTGTGTAAAATTATTTGGTTCGCTAGACAATTTTAGTGCATTTCCATTTGAAAATTTTATGCAAAAATTAAAAAAAATGGTTCATAAATCTTCCCAACCCTTACAACAAGTTGTTCGTCGAATCGTTGAAGAGAATAATATTTTAAGACCTACTAAGAATACTGATGATAATTTGTCTACAGAATTGTTAATGGAACATTCTGATGGCCCTTTAATAAATACTTGTAATCCTCCTCAGTACAAAAAACTTAAAACTGCCGAATATTGTTTAAATATTAATAGAACTGCTGACCGATTTGTAGAATTGAAAAATAAAACAATAATTAAAATAAAAAATTTTGTTAGCCATAAAAATTCAACAGTTCTGTTAGGTTATAGCTACAGTTTACAAAATGATTTTTACTCTAAGCCATGTAATTCATCTTTGTTTGACATACAGTATATAAAAAAAATAATAATTTACTTGAAATGTGGTCCATTGATGACATTAATAGGAAATTAATAGTTCTACCATTTAGAGGTCAATACGTTTCTTTCCCACTATTACACTTATAAGCAGAATTTGAAATTATTAAAAAATTTTTAAACTGTAATTGTTAAATTAGTTTCATGTAATTAAAAATTACATTTTAATTTGTAATTAAATTCAATTATATTTGCAACTCTTAAGAATGTTTTAAATCAAAATGACGTTTGTTCACCATTTCCAATAAAGACAATTTAAATAGTGTTAATGATTTTTTATGAATATAAAGAATATTATAAAGAAAACAAAACTATATTTTTCAGTTTAATTTGTAGCTTTTAATTTTAAGCATTTTTATATAGTGTAAGCTTTTATGGGTTCTTATAATGAAAGTATTCCGTTCAAAAACTTGTCTCATACATTTTCCTATATAAAAATTAATTAAACATGCATTTTGTTCAGATTGCGCTTCATAAAAAATCTTATATAATCATGTCTATGATTATATTTTCGTTTAAATGCAATTTTACAGAAAATTTACCAAAGTTTATTAATAAAGAGATGTTACTAATTCTTTTCCACTCATAAAATTTAATGTCAAAATAGATTAGGCAAGTTTTGGAACAGATTGCTTAAATATTATATTGATATATAATATATATAATATTACATAAATTTTATATATAATAAAATATTAGTAGTATTCCCAGGTAGGGAATCGCGTAATTTGATGTCAAAATGACCTCATTTGACGTTAAAATAAGATCATTTGACATCAAAATAATATATGTTGCTATTTGGGTTATAGATTATAAATAGAATATGCTAAAAATTATCGTATTTTTTGTTTCTGAAAACGCGTTACTTTTTCTATATTATAAATATTAATTTTGATTTTTATACAATTACTGTTTCCATATATATCCATACATATAATTTTTGTTTTTTTAATTGGTAACGCAAAATTTTTTGTTTTATATATAGGTACTTCAAATTAAAGTTTATAAAAAATGCTAAATCTAATACTAATATTCTAATACACATAAAATTTTTGTAGCCATTTGATTTATTTATAAAATATTAGTTAAGGCTTAATTAAACCATATTATAAAATATGACGTCAGAAGCAAGAAATTATATGAAGCTGTTCTTGCAAATTATATCGAAATAAATAAGATTATTCGAGCAATAATATGAATTAATGAAATCCGTCGAATACTTTTTTTACTTCGTAAATCTGCAAGTAGCTGTAAATAATCTTGCTCAATCATGTCCACGTTTACTGAAAATGTAGGACATATGCAAATGAGTTATACGCATATTTATTAACAAATAGGGAGTTTGACGGATTTTACTAATTCATATTATCAAACACAGTAATTACATTCAAAAACTTATTTATTCGATATATATTATATAAAAAAAAAACCTCATGTTATTTCTTGCTTCTGACATCATAATTCAATATAGCTGTAATGAGGGATCAGTAGATGAAACGTACGCAGTAGAAAAAATTGAAACAATTTTGTCTTAAACACAAAATTGTTTCAATTTTTTTACAGGATATTTTATGTATTAATTATTAATAGTATTAATATTATACAAACATTTTGATCTGTTTATTTTTTCAAATAGATAAAGTACTTTTTAAAACAAGCTTCTTAATAAATTGTAATTTAACGTACTTATATTTTTTAAGTTTCTTATTTATGGAATACTGTGATCAAAGAAATAATGTTTATAATTTCTTGTTTAAAATATTTCAAAGTTTAATTTTAATATATTATAATATACTTTAATATAATATGTTATATAGATGTAATATATATTAAAATATATAAAATATATATATATATATATATATATATATATATATATTCGTAAATACGTATATTGTTTTTATTGCAAGTACCTACATCTGTAAATATAATACAAGATATTTTAGTAATTAAATATTTATGTACAGTGTATATTCGTGTATGGCATATTCTATGTATGTATAGTGATCTACAAACGATGTACATTGGATGTCTTTAATATGTACATATATAATGCACGTATATATATCCATATAATGTGCCTCATTTGTAAATCACTGTATATACATAGAATATCATTTATATACATAGAATATCATCTATAGATGTATATAGATGCAATTTATATACATTGGATATGAAAAAAATATTTAGTGTATATGTAAATTATCTGTCATATACTTTCCACGAATGTACATGGAATGTACCTATCTATACGCATATATATTGTATGGATATACAATGTATAAACAGAACATTAAATTTATATACAAATAGGATATCCAATGTACATTGTTTATACATCACTGTATATACATAGAATAAGTCATATTCACAGACGTATATGGAATACACATACATGAGATGTCCAATAAATATTTATTGTATATGAAGGAAGGTATCTGCTATATATATGTACTTCTCTGTATGTACATACTCGTACACGTGATAACCACGAGTTGCAACGGTCTACGTCTACGTAGCGAAGCCGGCGCCTGCTGTACACGCACACATATATGTATTGTTCAGAGCGTTCGGCGCAGAAATTTAAGCCAATGATTTAATAAAATCAGGGACCCGGACCGTACCGTAACCGAAACCAATAACCGTTCCATACCGTTTGTTTTAGTAGGACCGAAACCGTAAACCGTATTGAAATTCTATTAAATTTATAGCACCGGAACCATAACCGGACCGTTAAATTATTTTTGGTTTACGGTTCTTTTCGGTATTTCATTTCGGTTTTTGCGCAAATGACGGAAATGTCATAATGTTATGCACTACATTTTATGTATCCCGGTTGGTAAATAATTGGCGCGGGAGCTTTGTTGCACTGCTACAGCGTCGTTACTTATCATGCGAAACGTAGTATTGCATCATATGTACTATGTACAACACGTTGTATAAACGCACTGACGTTTCGGCATCAATTGATTTCTCTTCAAATTTATTCTCTTTTATATATAAGTAAGTACTCTTTTACACATCTGTTAATCGAATTTGATTATTCGATTTATATTAACAATATAAGACATTATATTAACAATATAAGAGAAATATTTTACATTGAATGACATTGATACATAACCTCTGTCTTCTACATATTTATCATTGATTTTTATAATTTTATATTAACATTATTAGTATTATATTATCGACTTTATTATTAATTCATAAATTTGTTTCTTGCTGTTGAAATTTTTTAAGGAATTATATTTATTGGATTCAGACAGTTTTCGTGCTTTATTATGGGTAGAAAACATACTAATAAAGCACACAAACATTTCACATATAACGATGTAGAAGATAGTTCACAGTGTGTCATCTGTAAATCTTCATTGAAGGTAAATGATTGATATTACTTTTATATTTTTATTCTTGTTTATATTAAAATTTTTAATATTTTAAAATTTCTTTCTAATCTCATTTTTTATAACTATAAAATTCTAAATATACATATTCTTTAAGGGTAATTATGGGACAAACTTAAAAAAACATTTAATTCGTTACCATGATTTTAAAGAAGAATATTTCACTGATATTTCTTTGAATAAAAAAGAAACGGGAAAGCATCGAAAAGAAATACAGCCACAAATAGATGAAGTAAATTCTATAAAAGTAAAAATGACAAAGCGATACTATAAAAACCAAGCAGTAGGCGCGCCCGGCAGTCGCTCTCGAGTCGTTAATTAAGAGTAACCTCGCTAACCGCGTGCGATCTATAACATCTTATCGCAGTCGCGCGTGCAATTCGCGAAGTTATACGTAATCGCTTCCGCTCAACCAGTTAAGTAACTAGAAAGTGTAATATTGTGAAAATAAAGATAACGTCAAGTGTTTAGTTCAAATAAAAGTTCTTTGATAGTGAGAACGTGAAGTGAATTAATACAATAACCCCGATCCAAACCCTGACGCCCCGGATCCTCATCCTAATTTGGCGCGACCCCTTATGCCCGACCCGAAGCACACAACATGTCCAAAAAGTGCGATTTTTTGACCTCGAGCGGAAAGTAAAATTCGAGTTGTTTTAGGTCTCATACATCCAGAATAATGTCAAAATCATAGTGGTTTTTCCTGCAGAAATGCAGGGAACATTTAAATGTCATCATATGTTTAGAAAAGATCACGTCAATCAATACCTCACAATAAATCGAGATTGCTTGATGTTTCAGTCGAATATTTTGGAAAATATTTTGGTAACACCAACTTTCCAAGATCATTTAGACCGATTTTAATGTCAGTCAATAATAAATTGAATAATATATGTATATACAGGGTGTCTAACGTCCGACCTGGGCTCTTTATCTTGGAAACGACTTGAGATACAAAAAAATGTTTCGAACAAAAGTTGTAGGGTTTCGAGGGGTACATAAGATCGTGTTATTGATTTGACCTTGAATAGTCATGTGAAGGTCACGTGAAGGTCATCTTCAATTTCTTAAACGGAACTACCGATTTTTTTACATATTCTTGTATGTTATTTCAAAAGCTTCACAAAACCTTATACTAACATATGTTTTTATAGAGTTTTTGTTGAGTTATAAAGGTTTGAAGTTAACAAATTTTTTGATATGAAATGTAAAATATCTCATAAATATATCGCATAAAGTCAAAAAGCGGGAGGGATATCAAAGTGGGAACGTGGAACGTCCGAAGTCTTTACAGACCTGGGGCGTTCCAATCGATGGTCGGAGAGGTCGAAAAGTACGGGATAAAAGTCGTCGCGTTGCAAGAAACAAAATGGACCGGGGAGGGTTCACTTATCGCGGGTTCATATACGTTTCACTATGGAGAGTCGGAGACCCATAGTTTTGGCGTCGGTTTCATGATTAATAAGAAAATTTTGTCGGCGGTAAAAAACGTTAAATTTATAAACGAAAGACTAGGATTGCTCGTTGTGCAAGGCCGATGGTACAAGATCGCGATAATCAATGTGCACGCGCCGACGGAAGATAAAGATGACGAAATTAAAGACGGATTCTACGAGGAACTTGAACGCCTCGTGGACCAATTGCCGAATGATTACATGAAAATAGTCTTGGGGGATTTTAACGCGAAGATCGGTAAAGAGAACTTTTTTAGACCAACGATCGGGCTTGAAAGCTTGCACGAGGAAAGTAACGATAACGGAGTAAGAGTGATTAACTTTGCGACCGGCAAAAATCTTATCGTCAAAAGCACATATTTTAGACATAAAAATATCCATAAACAAATTTGGATTTCCCTGGATGGAAATACGCGTAACCAAATTGATCATGTTCTTGCAGATAAACGGCGCCACACAAACGTACTCGATGTTAGGTCTTATAGGGGGGCGGATTGCGACTCGGATCACATTTTGGTAATTGCCAAAATCAGAGAACGTCTTTCGTTAAACAAAACTAACGGGCAATTAATTGGTTCCAAACGTCTAAATGTGCAAAGTCTTACCAAGGGAGAGAACGGAACAAAATACGCGGTCGAAGTAACGAATAAATTCGCGGCCTTAAAGGAAATTAATGAATCGGAGGATAATGCGGTTGACAAACAATGGGAAAACGTACGCGACTCGATAGTAAAATCGGCGGAAGCCACGGTTGGTTTTTGTAAAAGACACAAAAACAAACCGTGGTTTGACGAAGAATGTGTAAAAACTGTTAAAGTACGAAACAAAGCGCGTATCGCATGGTTGACTCAAAATACGGCTGAAACTCGGAATCAGTTTCTTAATATTAGGCAAGCAACTCATAATATGTTTAAAAATAAAAAGCGTCAATATTTAAAACGTAAAACTGAAGAAATAGATGAAAATTGTCAAAGCAGTAACGTCCGCGGTATGTACATGGGAATAAATAATTTTAGAAAGGGATTCCAAGCTAGGACAAAAATGGTAAAAGATGAGGACAATAATTTAATTACGAATTCAACGGGAGTACTAAATACTTGGAAAAATTATTTTGATCAGTTATTGAATGTTGAATCTGAAAGCGACCGGGAAATAGAGAATTTTGAGTTTCACACGGCGGAACCTTTGATTAACGAATCGACAATTTCAGAAGTAAAAAGCGCGATTAAAAAATTAAAAAATCATAAAGCACCGGGCATCGACCTGATTCCGGCGGAATTAATGAAATGGGGAGGAAGTAGGTTAATAGAGGAAATTCAGAAATTAATTATCTTAATTTGGAATAAAGAAGCATTGCCGGAACAATGGAAAGATTCAATTATAATTCCGATTTTCAAAAAGGGTGACAAAATGAGTTGTAATAATTATCGGGGCATCTCACTGTTACCTACTTGTTATAAAATTTTGTCGAACATTTTATTGACGAGGCTTGTACCATATGTAGAGGAAATAAGTGGGGATCATCAATGCGGTTTTAGAAGAAATAGATCGACTACAGATCAAATCTTTACTATTCGGCAAATCTTGGAGAAAAAATGGGAATTTGGTCAACCGGTACATCAACTTTTTATTGATTTCAAAAAAGCGTATGATTCGATTAAACGGGAGAAAATGTTTGAAATTTTAATTCGGCTGGGGATTCCTAAAAAATTGGTTAGCATGGTTCAAATCTGTTTAAAAGATTCTAGAGGTAGAGTAAAAATAGGTAACCAAATATCGGAAACTTTTAACATTCATAGCGGATTAAAGCAGGGGGATGCATTGTCACCTCTTTTGTTTAATTTAGTATTAGAATATGCTATTAAAGAAATGCAGAAAAGTGAAAATGGTCTGCGGTTAAACGGTATAACACAGCTATTAACATATGCGGACGATATTGCTTTGCTTGGAGATAATAAAGTAACATTAATTGATAACACTAAAACTTTATTAGATAAAACGAAAGAACTTGGGTTGCAAGTAAGCGTTGAAAAAACTAAATATATGATCACTAATAGAATCCAGAGTATTCATAATTGCGGAAGCTTGGTCATTCGAGATAAAATGTTTGAGCGGGTCAGCAGTTTTAAGTATTTGGATTCGATTTTAAACCAAACTAATGAAATAAGAGAAGAGCTTAAGAAAAGAATTAATTTGAGGAATGCTTGCTTCTATTCGGTTAATAAATTACTCGGATCGCGAGTGTTGTCTAAACGTTTAAAAATTAGAATTTACAGAACGATTATTTTACCGGTAGTCCTTTATGGCAGCGAAACGTGGTCACTTACGTTAAAAGACGAGAAAAAATTTAGAGTATTCGAGAATAAAATACTTCGAAAAATCATGGGTGCGAAGCGCGATGAGGAGACAAGCGAATGGAGAAAACTGCATAACGTAGAATTACATCGATTATACAATAGTCCAGATATAATTAACGTATAATAAAATCACGCCGATTAAGATGGGCAGGCCACGTGGCGCGTATGAGTGAGGATCGAACCGCATATAAAATACTAATTGATAAACCTAATGGGAAAAGACCATTGGGTAGACCAAGACGTAGGTGGGAAGATAATATTAGAATGGATCTTAACGAAATGAGGTACGAGGGACGCGAATGGAAGGATCTTGCTTAGGGACGGGAACATTGGCGAGATTTGGTATTTGTGGCAATAAACTTTCGAGTTCCGAACGCCAGTTAATAATAATGTAAAATATCTTATAAAATATTCAGTTTTTGGTAATCATATCTTAATACTTTTTTTGCACGGAATAATGAAACTAATCAACTGGTATAAAGAAAACAGATAATTGTTTTAAAAAAATGTAAAATTCAACATGCAGTTGCATACTTTTTTAATAAGTAATTATGTTTTTTTTTTTTAAGTAAGAAAGTTGAATGCCAGTAAGAAAAACCAATGGGAAAATATTCAATATTACGTTTTTTACACCAACTGATTGGTCTCATTATTTCATGCAAAACAGTATTAAGATACGATTACCAAAAACTGAATATGTTACAGGATATTTTACATTTTATGTCAAAAAATTGTTAACTTACAACCTTTATAACTCAACAAGAACTCCATGAAAACATATTTTAGTATAGGATTTTGTAAAGCTTTTGAAATAACATATAAGAATATGTAATAAAAAATAGGTAGTCCCATTAAAGAAATTAAAGATAACTTTTACGTAACCTTCAAATGACTATTCAAGGTCAAATCAATGGCACAATCTTATGTCCCCCTCATAATCCTACAACTTTTGTTTGAAACTTTTTTCGTATCTTAAGTCGTTTCCAAGATAAAGAGCCCAAGTCGGGCTTTAAGAATACTCTGTATATATATTATTCAATTTATGATTAACTGACATTAAAATCGGTCTAAATGATCTTGGAAAGTTGGTGTTACCAAAATATTTACCAAAATATTCGACTAAAACATCAAGCAATCTCGATTTATTGCGAGATATTGATTTACGTGATTTTCTCTAAACATATGATGATATTTAAATATTCCCTGCATTTCCAGGAAAAACCACTATGGTTTTTACAATATTCTGAATGTATGAGACCTAAAACAACTCGAATTTTACTTTCCGCTCGAGGTCAAAAAATCGCACTTTTTGGACATTCTCCTTTCAGTGTCTATCTAAGAATTTAATGTATTATTACACTTTTTCATATAAAACATCTCAGTTATTTCTCTTTTTTTAGTATTTTTCTCATGATGTAAAATTATCG